GCAGGCCCCAGGAGACCCCAGGAGGCAACATGAGGCCCCTGGAGGCACGAGAAGGCTACAGGAATATTCAAGAGGCCACAAGATGCTCCAGGAGGCCCCAGGAAGCTCCGGAAGGCCTCAGGAGTCTCCAGGATGCTCCAGGAGGCCACAGGAAGCCACAGGAGGCCCCAGGAGGCCACAGGAAGCGCCAGGAGGCACCAGGTGGCCCCGGATGGCACCAGGAGGCCCCAAGAGGCCCCAGGCGTAGGAGGTTTCAAAAGGTCACAGGAGTGGCTCCAATCCCTTGTGTTGTACGTATGCTCCTATCGATTGGGGCCTCTCCTGGAGCACGAATCCTTAGTGTGTTACGTATGTTTCTATAGATTGTCCTTTTCCTGCGTGTCCAATCCTCAGTGTATTGGGCCTCCCCTGGGACACGAGTCCTTGGTGTTATACGTGTGTTCCTATAGATTGCTCTGTTCCTGCGGTTCCAATCCGCAGTGTTTTATGTACGTCTGTTTCTATAGATTGGGCTTGTCCTGGGGCACGAATCCTCACCAGGATGCCCCAGGAGGCCACACGAGGCCACAGGAGGCTCCAGGAAACCCAGCAGATTTCAGGAGGCCCCAGGAGGCCTGTCCTCTCTTACCTCTTCTCTTCCCCCCTCTTTGTGTCTGTCATAGCCTTTTCGGCTTTCAGCCCGTCGATGACGGGCACAGGTGATGTTGGCAATTCCAGGGCGCTCGCACAGAAAGACGTATGCTTTCCCCCTCTCGACCAGTCTCAGACAATGGTAGCCAGAGCGTGGTACCGACAGGGGGACGGGCATCGTCTCAAGGAGCAAGCGTTTCGGATGTAGCCATGACATTTGTGGCCACGACAGACGAGGCAGCCGGCGAGGAACCGGCACACGAGCAGCAAGAAGCAGAAGAAGAAGAAGGTGAATGGGAAGAACAAGACTGGTGGAGCTGGTGGCACTGGCACCCCTGGTCGTGGGCAACGCAGTCCTGGGCATCTTCGGACTGGAACTACGGGCCCTGGATGGGGCCAGCGGAGAGGAACAGGGACTTCTCGATCCCACCACCGTTCCTGGGCTTAGAGCACCTGGACACATACCTCCACAACTTGACTTCTTGGACGAAGAGAACGGGTATCCAACCGGAAACCCAGGCTTCGAAGATCTTGGAAGGATTTCCCGTCGAACTCCAGGCCAAGTTTCGAGGTGTGAGAGACCAGCTGGACGCCGAGGAAGGAGTTGAGATCCTTGTCAAGCACCTTCGTTTACTGAATGGAGAGAGGCCAGGAGATCGAGAACGCGAGGCGCACAATGCAGCGCTGTTCGACGTGAACATACGGAGAGGCGAGAGCCTCACCGAGTTTGTGGTGCGCCGTGACACGCAGATCTCGCAGGCAGAAACTTTCGGATTGACTCTCCCAGACGACGTCAAGGCCAGATTCTATGAAGAGGGATCTCAGTTGTCTGGCCAGATGCGAGTGAACCTTCGGACGTTGATGGCGGGAGATCGGTCTTGCAAGTCGGTGAAGAGCGCCCTTCTGCAACTAGACGTAGCCGAGAAGAATCTCCTGCCGAGACCCCCACAGCAGTCCGGCAAGGTCTATGCCACTCTAGACGACGACGACGAGTGTCAGCTGTGCGACTCTGGAGATCTATTCGAGGTGGAGTTTCCAGCCGAGGAGGCCGCAGCGTTTCTAACTTCTCTGGAGGCCCAGGATATGTACGAGGACGAGGCTTTTGAGGTGTATGCCGAACTGGCAGATTCTCGCAGGCGCAGAACTTGGAAAGAGGCAGAACAACTGAAAGCAGCTCGGAAAGTCGACCGGGACTTTTTCGGCAGAAAGCGAGGCTCGGCGTCATCACCTCCAGCGGGACGCCCAGGTTTCAGGAAGATATCCAAGGAAGACATGAAAAAAACGCACTCGATGCACGAATTGCGGTGGGAAGGGTCACTGGCGGGAAGATTGTCGGAAGCCGTACCGATCGAAAGAAGACAGATTGAAAGCAGAGACGTCGAGTCATGTGTCAAACGTCAGTGCAGCCGACGACTTCTATTTCTCATTCGACTCTTTCGGGACCTCAGCTCCATCGTGGGTCACGTTCTTTGAGAGGCTGACAGAGGGATCACAAGAATTCTCGGGAGTGCATCTTCGTGACATGGATGATCACGGACTAGTGGATACTGCAGCCGCCCAGGCGTTGATAGGTCAGCCGGACTTGGACACGATGATCTCGGCCTTCAAGGCCAAGGGCTACGTGATCCATGTGACAAGGAAAGACGACCTGCCGTATGCTAGTGGAGTGGGAGGGAGAATTCGTCCGATTGCCAAGGCGGCGGTGCCGCTCTCGTTCGTGAAGTGCGGAGTCTTGGAGTTCCTGGTGCTACCTCATGCGTGTCGGCCGCTGATGCCGGCTGGGTGTCTTGAGTTTCTCGGAGGTGTCATTGATATGAAGCTCAACGTCTTGAGATTCGGAGAGGATGGTGAACATGAGATTCCTATGGCCAGACTGCCCTCGGGACACATATCGATATCGCTGATAGGTAGGCCCTCGAAGGATTTCCGTTTGAGCCCCAGCCTTGAGAAGAAGTTTCCCAGTTTCACGCTGCCGAAGGGAGAGCTTCAGGAGACCACCTGGATGGCGAACCAGGTCGAGGGCCACCTGGATTTCTGGGAAAGGATGTCAGATCGCTGCCGCCTGCATCGTGTGAGGCCAAGGCGAGAGCTAGTAGATCCGAATGCAGAGGTCAGCCTGCCCGTCAGTATCCAGGACCTCGACGAGCTCAGGGTCACGCGCTGTAAGTTCCGAGATCAGCCCGACACCTGGATAGAGCACATCTACGAGCACGAGTGGGCCACCAAGGACAGCGCGCTGAAGACGCCGGACTTCTGGATCGGCTACTCCGAGTTCTTTCTGAAATCCGACATCGGACCACAGGACTCGCCGCGGGTAGGTGGTGAGAGCAGGGGCGTTCAGTTGCTTCAGTCAGACAGTTCTCACTCTTCGTCCCGGGAGTCTCGGGTCTGTGGGAATTCTTTGGGATCTGACAAGCCAAATTGAATTGCACCCCCCCTCCGTAGCCGTTTCTCTCACTCCAGCTTCCAGCTATCAGTTGCCCAAGGGCGGTGAGAACGACACCCAAACCTGCGATGCTGAAGCGCCGCGTGTCCGGGATCCTGTTCAAGACGCGCCGTCATGCTCGACTGGCGGCCACGCACCTGGCATCCTCGGATCTCGAGCCGGTCGACGAGGAGGACTCGGAGATCGAGGCGAACTGGGACTTCCCGCCAGATCCCTGGCAGGAATCCGAGCTGCAGCAGGTGAGCTACGAGGACTGCGAGTTGTCGGAGGTCGAGAAGAACCTGCTGAACGAGGGAGGCTACCTGCTAGCTCCACCAGCTCATCGCTGGAGGAGGTGGGCACTAACTCTACTGGTGCTTCTCAGGTCGTGTGCAGAGTCCAGGCTGATTGCGAGTCTGGCTCCTCGCCTGAAGCTGGGCGCTTGCCGGGGGATCAGCGAGGAGGACTGCGAGCATCCCTTGGAGGCGAGAGAGTGCCGCTCGAACCAGTATGCGAGGTGGGTGAAGTGCAAGAAGCGCGGCGGTCGACTCGAGACGGTCCGATACACCGCCGAGGAGAAGGTCAAGATGAAGATCGAGAGGGACATCAAGCGCGAAGGCATCAAGCAGGAGTGGGCGCGCAAGGAGACCGAGCAGATGGAGGTGAAAATGGGCATCACCGTCAGGAGCGGAGACTGCCAGCAGGCGGAGAAGGTGCCAGTGCGAAGGTCGCCACACAGCCCAGGGTCTTCTTCGAGCAGCTGCCCGAGCCAAGCGACGCCACTCAGGACCAAGATGAGGCCGACTTGCGAGGGGGCCCTAGTGAAGCCTCCACCGGGCAACATCGTGAAGGCGCCGCCTGCAGGTTTCGGTCCCGCCGCCGCCAAGAGCCCTCCGGCCCGCAGAGTCGAGGCGAACAGCCGCAGCACAGAGTTCACCGAGCTTCTCAGGAACCAGGAGAGCAATCGGACAGAGATTACCCAGTGGATGATGGAGCAGCGCCAGCAGACGGGCGAGACACGCGCCCAGTTCAGGGACCTCATGACGATGATCAGCCCCCACCTGACCGGAGCGGCAAGAAGCGCAGGGCCAGCCCCCGAGGCGATGAAGATCGAGAGCGACGACGAGCGCTAGGTGAGTCCAGCCTCTCGGTGGTCGAGGGCAACTACATATCCTCCGTCGAGAGTGTCTCGACGAACTACGTGACCAAGGCAGATGCGTCATCTGCTCCTGGCTCCTGCGGCCAAAATCCTGATCATCATCATCCTTCCGTCTCCCCCACCACCATCCGAGAAGTTTCCAGTTTTGACCCGGGGATCCAGGGGAACCTCAGAGGCCTGCTTCCCCCGGGGACCGAATCCGGGGACTGGACCGCAAAAAGCTTCAAGATCACCGATCGAAGGAATATCAAGGTGGACATGCGAAAACAGTTTGAATTCTTGGGGACCTGGCTCTGGGACACCGAGACCGGCAGGTCGGTTTCTTTGGAAGAGGTGACCGAGAGGGGCCTCTGGGAAGAAAAACGACTGGAGGGATCCGAGGCCCAAAATTTTCTTATCTATCTTGCCCTCAGGGCAAGAGGAGAAACGTCGAACATCTTTGAGGGATCAGGGGTCAAGAGACTAAGGATAGCGACTAAGACCCCCGCGAAGATCACCACCGTCACCGACACTCTTTGGGTAGGGGCCTCAGCGTCCGAGATTGCCTCCAATCTCGAGGGCTACAAGCAGTCCGAGCTGATCATCTCCGTCTGGGCCTCGGCTGGTAGCCTGGCTAGTATGCCCCTGAGCTGGTCCATACTGGGCCGACGTCCGACCCTTAGAAGGTCTCTGGCTCAGCCTCCCGTAGCAGCACCTCGTAGGGTACGAGAAGACGCCCTCAGAACTCTAGTGGGAAGGGGGGTCCGCGCCTCGAGAAAGCAACTAAGGCACAAAGCCATCCAGGAGATGGTCCAGAAGAAGAGGACGGTGCTCCTGGAGCTGTTCTCTCCCCCCAGGGTCACCTCAGAGATCTCCCGCAGGGGCTTTCCCGTATCGAGGGCCGTGGATTTCAGAGCGGGTTGGGACCTTCGCCGGGCCCGGGAAAGGAAAAACATGTGGGAAATGATTCGGTCAGATCGTCCCGAGGTCATCCTGATGACTCCACCCTGCCAAGGAGTGTCAGTAGCTAGAGTCCCTAACTGGGACAAGATGGATCCAGATGAGAGAGACCGAATTGAGCAAGAAAGCATTTTCTTCCAGGGTCTGGCGGCGCAGGTGGCGATGCATCGGATAGCTCACGGAAGGAAGTTTCTCATGGAGCATCCTTTCGGGGCTTTTTCAAGGCAGCTGAGGCCCACAGAGATCTTGCTGGAACAGTCCGGGGTTCTCGAGGTCCGAGCTGTTTAGTGTGCTTTTGGTTTGAAGACTCTCGACGGGGGGCCAGCGTTGAAACCTACTCGATTTTTTTCCAACTCCAAGGAAATCCTGGACAAGTGTGCACGCAGGTGCGAGGGGAGTCATGTGCATTCTGTTCTCATTGGCGGCGCCAGGACATCGGCGGCTGAACGGTTTCCACCTGCGCTGGTGAACGCTCTTGCGCAGGGCGTCGGGCAGGTGATCTTCAGTGAGGCCACTGAGGGATCGTTTCCAGCGGCGGGAGACGACCTTCCCAATGAACCAGCCGAGGTCGAGGACTCTGAGTCCGAAGATGAGCAAGAAACCAGGAGCTGCCCAAATCCCCCGGGACTTTCGAAGACTCCAGAGCTCTCCAGGGAGCTCCAGGAAGAAATCCACAAGCTTCACGTGAACCTCGGACACCCTCGAAGAGACCATTTCGTCAGGACCCTGAAAGTCGGCAAAGCCAAGGAGGAAGTCATCCACTGGGTCCTGACATTTTTTAAGTGCCCCACGTGTGACCCAGGATCTCGTCCAGGTTGGAGACGTAGAGCTCACTTGCCCCGAACATATCGTTTCAATAAGCTAGTCGCGGCCGATATCTTCTCACATACAAGTGCTAAATTCGACTCACCCCGTGCTGAACCTGATTGATCACGGATCGAATCTCCAGGTTTGCACCTTGCTGCGAGCCGCCACGTCAGCTGAGGTTTGGAACGCCTTCCTCAAGTTCTGGGTGAGACCTTACGGGGTACCAGAGGCAGCGATGACGGATGGGGGGCAAGAGTTCGAAGGATCTGTTTCCAGGGGTTCAGAGCATCTTGGGGTTTACCAGCACGTTTGCGACGCCGAGTCTCCTTGGCAGAATGGGAGGTGTGAGCGTCATGGGGGGTTAGCCAAGAGCGCGCTTGTTCGAGCTGCCGGTGGGGCGGGGCCTACCAACCTCGAGGAGGTAGAAGAACTCCTCTGCGAGGTCGTCTCAGCAAAGAATAGGCATTCTCACAGGGGCGGCTTCTCCCCCTATCAGATGGTGTTCGGCGAGAACCCTCGTCTTCCCCGATCCCTCTTGTCCGATGAAGCTCACGACGAAGTTGGGATCGGAGACTTGATTCGAGGATCAACGGACTCCAATTCCCCTGCCGCCGCCTTCGCTCGAAAGCACGCCCTCAGGGAAGAGGCCAAGAAGGCCGTCATGGTTATGGGCGCCCGGGGCCGCCTGATAGCGGCCAGCAAGGCCCGAAAGCACGTCGATGAGATTTTCCCTCCAGGAGCCTGGGTGTACGTTTGGAGAAAGGGAGGAACGTCTCAGGACAGGGAAGGGCCCCCGGACCAAACGTTCCCGTTGGACCGGCCCAGGGGCCGTAGTGTTTCAGCAGGGCCCGACAGCGTGGGTAGCGATGAGATCGCGCCTGCTGAAGTGTGGCCAAGAACAGATTAGGTGGGCCACTAAGGACGAATCCTGGGGAGCTGAACTTCTGGACTCACCTTCCTTCGCTCGACTACGTCAGGAGCTTCAGACTCCAGGAAGACGAGTCGGAGCAGTGGACGTTGAGGCCGAAGGTCCGCCGCCCCCGGAGGCTTGGGGTCTCGAGGAACCCGAGTCTCAGGACGCTCCAGCCCCAGTGGTTCCCGTGCCTCCGCCGGCCGAGCCTCTGCAGGCCCAGGAGCCTGCCGCGGTAGCTGGCCCGATCGGAGACGATCAAGCGTCGACGGCGCGCCCAGTGACCATCTCCGCCGATAGTCGGTCTCAGAGCATCGGGACAGAATCTCCCAGGGGGATGCCCGAGGTTAGGGACCGCCCAGGGGACGATGAGGCCTCAGAGGCTGACGAGGTGAATCCAGCTGGGCGACGGGACCCCACCGAGCCACCTCCATCTCAAAGACCTCGTCTGACACCGATCGAAGACCGAATCCAGGGCCCAGGCCGAGTCAGGGAAGCCGTCCAGGAACGGGAGGGCTCTGGTTTACGAAATGGTCTTCTGGACGATGTGCCAATGTGTATTAGAAGGAGTCGTCAGACTCCGAGTGCCAGCAGCTTAGGCCCACTTCGTGAGGACGAAGCTCGCCAGCTGCCGGAACCTTCTTCTGCCGCGCGAGAGGGGTCTCGATCTCCGAGGAGAGAGACATCAGAGCTTCTGGGGAGGCCTAATGTTGCGAGGACGGGGGAGGAGGACCAAGAGGAGGAGGATCTCTGGGGAGAACTCTGCTTCTGGTTCCACTTTAGTTTTGATTTCTGGCGTTCCGAGTCTCTGGAGACTTTCGTCACTTCCAAGGGCAAGGGAAAGGGTGAGGATCCTCCGTCAAGGCGCGGCGCCGAAGTTTCGCTGAAGAGTATTTCTCCCGAGGAAAGGCTCCTGCTTTCCTTTTCCGACGCCAAGGAGTGGAAGGCAATTCTCGACTCCGGAGCGGCGCGGATTTCGAAGGCTGCCGAGGCCGCTGTAGTTGGGAGAAGATTTCCTGACAGAATTCTGGGTTCTAGGATGGTTAGGAGGTTCAAGCCTCAAGAAGGGGTGGGCTCAGGGGCTCTCGCGATATCACGATGGTGTGTCCAGGGGCATCACGATCCAGACAACGAGGAATTACACGTCTATGCCCCGACCCCCCAAGCCGAGAGTACTATGGTCACCCTCCAAGCGATCATTTCGCTCGGTTGGGAGCTCGAGATCGCTGACTGCAAGAACGCGTTCTGTCAGTCAGACCGACTTCATCGTCCCAAGGGGTCGATCTTGTGCGATCCGTGCCAAGGGCTGAATTTGGGACCGGGTGAGCTCATCGAGCTCATTGCCCCAGTGTGCGGTCTGAATGACGCACCTCTCCTCTGGCACCGGACTCTCGCCCAATGGCTTTCAGAAGACGGTTTCAGCAAGTCCCTTTTAGAACCCTGCCCGTGGGTCAAAGAGTCGTCTCAAGGAGAGATCCGTTCCTTGACACTCATTGAGGTGGGCGACCTCATAGCGGCGAGTGCTCCTGCGGAGCGCCAGGGTCTGAAGGATAGGCTCCAAGGTAGGTTCAAGTTCGGCAAATGGGGGGCCGGGGAGGCCGATTTTGCCGGGGGACACGTGAAACAAGTGGGCCAGAAAATCTTCATAGACCAACAGAAATACATCTTATAACAACTTGCCCCCATGCGGTTAGCTAAGGAGAGGCGCTCGGACCCCGAGGCGCCGTTGACCCCGGAGGAGGTCAAGCTGTACAGAACGATGGTGGCCCAGATTCAGTGGCTATAGGTCGGGAATCCCGGCCGGACGTGTCGGCAGGAGCCTCCATTTAGAGTGCCGCCCTCCCGTCGCCCACGGTCAGTGACGCAATGTTGTGTATCAAGATAGTCAAGCATCTCAAGGGAACCGCCAGTCAGAAGATAGTTTTGTGGCCCCTGCCTGGACCCGAGCTCGATGAGCTTCGCGACTGTTTCCGACGCCGGGGGCCCGGGGTCCGCTCGAAGAAACGGGGCCCAGGGAGGATGGTTGGTCCTAGCGGCCGATCCGGCCATAAGGCAGAACAGAAGGTCTCGCGTTTCCCTTTTAAGCTGGAGATCGACTAGATTAAAGAGGGTGGTTGCGCCTACCGGAGCTGCAGAGACATTGTCGCTCTCTGCCGCCCTCGCCGAGGTCCAGTGGCTGTCCATCCTGTGGAGGGACCTTGTGTTCAGCGACGTCAGTCGCCCAGACTGGCATCTGTCGCAGTTTCCTTTCTCCGTTGTTTTGAGCCGTGATTGCGCTCTCTCGGAAGGAGTGCAGACTCTCTCCGTGGTTGATGCGAAATCCATTTTCGACACACTATCGGAGAATTCGGCCGGGTCAAGAGCCGACCGAAGGAACAGTATCGAGCTTGCAGTAGTGCGAGACAGTATGAGCGCTGTAGGTTCTCAAGTCAGATGGGTTCCTCATGGTCGAATGGCTGTTGACGCGCTTACGAAGGCGGATCCAACACGTGGCAACTTGGCTCTGACCGATCTGTTGTCCAGGGGAGCCATGATTCTTGTGGACGAAGAAGGCCACATGTCAGAGCGTTCCTTAAATCATTCTCTCAAGTCTCGTTCCCGGAGAGCCTCGAAGGAGGCCCTACTAAGAGCTAGTTCAGATCTTTCAGAGTCGGGGGACGGGCAGTCCGGGGGGCGGGAGAGTAATTTCTTGGCTATGTCAGACCCACTGAAAGTAGTCCCGCTGTCCTCTCTTACCTCTTCTCTCCCCCCCTCTTTGTGTCTGTCATAGCCTTTTAGGCTTTCAGCCCGTCGATGACGGGCACAGGTGATGTTGGCAATTCCAGGGCGCTCGCACAGAAAGGCGCATGCTTTCCCCCTCTCGGCCAGTCTCAGACAGGCCCCAGGCTCATGCGCAGAGACGCTCTTGTACTACTGATATTGTTTTACACTCCAATTCATTCACAGTTAGATTCGCTCCCAGACCGTCAATACCCAAGCCCGTGAATATTCGAAAACTTGTGCGCCTGGAGACTCATGGCGGACAGGTTCATGTTAATAGATGCGCATGTGGGGGGCTCCACGCAGTGAGTAGTTTTGGTGGTCCAGTGCTCACTGCGATCTAGCATGCACTTGGGCCCCCAGGGGGGGGGGGAGGGGGGCGCCATGGCGGTTATTTCACGGAGCTGTTCGCGCCCAGATCGAGGGGGTGTCTGAGGCAGGTTGCCTGTTTCTGCCCCCATTCGTGTTTCTGGTTTGGTGATACATTGCTCACAGCGATATAGCAGGCGTGGCACTTGGGCACCCCAAGGGGGAGTCACCACGGTGGGGACAGTCCAGGCTTCGCGCCCAGATCATAGTGATGCCTTAGGCGGTTTGTATGTTTTTGCCTTCCCCCCTTTTTTTTTCAGACTTCTTTTTGGATTCGCGTGCTCCTCAGCCACCCACTCGCTCGTTCATTCACTCACTCACTCACTCACTCACTCACTCACTCACCTCCTCCTCTTCCTCGCTCACACGCATTAATTTACAGCCATATCCATCTTCAGACCCACTCATACTCAGAGTCACTCATACGTAGATTCACGTATGCTCAGACCCACTGAAACTCAGACTCGCTCGCACCCAAACGAATTCACAAGTATATTCATTCGCACTCAGACCCCCCAGCCCTCAGGCTCACTCGTGTTCAGACTACCTCGTGCTCAGGCGAGTTGAGATTCACATTTGTTATTTCTTCATCACACTCACACTCAGACCCATTCGCACTCATACTCACCCGCACTCAGACCCACGCGCGTTCAGATTCGCTCGCGCTCAGACTCTTCACGATCAGACCCACGGGTTCTCAGGCCTACGATATTCATATTGATTCACATTCCGTGTCAATCGTACCCAGGTTCGCTCGCATTCCGAATAGCATTTGAGCACCCCAAATGCCATCAAGCGCCGCGACTAGCACGCCAGAAAACGTGCATAGCAACGCCATGCGCGCTTGCTTGAATTGCCGCAGTGAGAACGTCAGCAGGACTTCCCGTCTTCCATTTCTGTGTCCCTTCGCCTCTCCTGACAGATGTCCACAGTAGGAGGACGTCACTGAAGTCGTCGCTGTTGTCATCGTTGTCGCGCCTGCCGTCTACGCGGGTTCGCTCCCAGATTTAGATGCGCACACGTACACCTCCCCAGCGAGACGTGACAGGAACATGAGATGCACATCTGAAGATTTCCGCGTCGAGTAATTTATTCCTGGGCCCCAACAGCCGTTGTTGGGGGAAATAAGTGGAGGGGAACGGTAGCGTCACGTTTCGCGTTTGGCGCCGTCTGGGGATGCCTACGAATAGCCACAGACAGCCCAGAGGTCAGCACGAATCGTGGCGTCACGTCGGGGGGGTGGGGGTGGCGGCCGAAGCAGGTAAAGGCCGTCCTTCGCGAGATGTGCAAAAACGCTATGTACTACTATGCGGCCTTTTCCTCTGAGGAGCGCGCCCTGGCGGCCGGGGAGGGCCTGCTGCACCGCGCCGCGGCTGGCGAAACGGGTGAGAAGGGCAAGCAGGACGGCCTGCTGCACCGCGCCATGGCGGCCGGCGAGGGCGTGCTGCACCGCACGGTTGCGTGGGCGCAGGACGGAGGGGGCGGCGGGCCTGGGATTGCTTCCTTCTGCGGGTGTGGAGGGCTGGGCGGGGGTGGGAGACTCTTCCCCACGGTCGTGGAGGGCAGGGAGGGGGCGGGGGTCAGAGGAGGAAGGGGTGCTGGTACCGCTGCCCTTGCTTCGATTTTCCCCAAGCGGTGCTTGCATTGAGGGGCTTTGGCTTGTCTTGCTCAGGGGTGGGACGGGTCCAGCGAGGTTTCGCCACTTTGCCGCCCGTGGCCGCCTCGTGGCCGCCTCGTGCGCTGGGTGGGTTCGGCGAGGTTTCGCCACGTTGCCGCCAATGGTCGCCTCGAGGCCGCCTCCAGCTTGCACCACGTAGGTTTTCCTTTCCAGATCAAGAGTAAACTCTACTACTCCCCCCCGATCTATCGGTCCCCACAGGGACACCGCAAATTACAAATGATTCTGCCTTGTCGTTCATTTTCCACATGAACTCATACCATCCCAGCTAGGCTGGGTATCGCTCCCCTCCCCCTCGCCCCTGCCAAAGAATCGCTCCCCTCACCCTCGCTCCCATCCCCTTCGCTCCTGTCAAATTGCCCGAGACGTGCCCAACCCCCTCTCCACGCGAGGTACATATTTGTATGGAGGCTCCATACAAAATAACACATCTCGAGATATGCACGATCAGCGCTGCCCTCATTCCCACCGTGCCCTCATTCCCACCGAACCTCCCAGGAGCCTACGAAAGAGGCGACATTTGCACACTTCGCAGCCCCCGCAGGAGCCGCGAGGTCTCAAATGGATCTGCGCTGCCCTCAACTCTGCCGTGCCTCCCAGGAGCCAACGAAAGTGGCGACAATTGCGCAGATGGCGGTCCCCGAGGGAGCCGCGAGGTCTCAAATGGGTCTGCGCTGACCTCAACTCCGCCGTGCCTCCCAGGAGTCCACGAAAGTGGCGACAGTTGCGCAGTTCGCAGCTACCCAGGGACACGCGAGGTCCCCGCTAGAGCTGCGTTGCCGCCCGCTCCGCTGGACCTCCGAGGAGCGCACAAAAGTGGCGACAGTTGCGCAGTTGGCCCCATGAGCCGCGAGGTCCTGGTTGGATCTGCGTAGCCCCCACTCTGCAGGACCTCTCAGGATCCCTACGAATGTGGCGACTTTTGCACACGTCGCAGCCACCCAGGGAGCAGCGAGGTCCCCAATGGGTCCGCGTGTGACTCCATTATGCCAGACCTCCCAGGAGCCCACGAACATGTTGACAGTTGCGCAGTTCGCAGCCACCCAGGGAGCAGCGAGGTCCTCAATGGGTTTGCGTCTAGTTCCACTCTGCTAGACCTCCCAGGAGCCCGCGAAAGCGGCGACAATTGCGCAGTTCGCAGCCCCCGAAGGAGCAACGCGGGTGCAGCGCAGGAGGAGAGGGGAGGTGGGGGGAGGAGGAGAAGGAGGAGAGGAGCACCCGCAGTCGCGGACAATAGTGAGGGAGGGGGCGGCGGGGACGTCGGAAGTCTGCGAGGCTCTGAAGAAGCCCGCCGCAGACGCCCCTTCGTTTTACAGCTTCTATAACGAGCCCGCCGCTGGCGCCGAATTTTCGTTAAAGCAATGTGGGTTGGTCGCGGGTGGATCGCGAGTGGGTCGCGGGGTGGGTCGCGGGTGGGTCGCGAGTGTGGGTCGCGGGGGGGTCGCGGGGGGGTCGCGGGGGGGTCGCGGGGGGGTCGCGGGGTGGGTCGCGGGTGGGTCGCGGGTGGGTCGCGGGTGGTTCGCGGGTGGGTCGCGGGGGGGTCGCGGGGTGGGTCGCGGGTGGGTCGCGGGGTGGGCCGTGGGGTGGGTCGCGGGGGGGTCGCGGGTGCGTCGCGAGTGGGTCGCAGGTGGGTCGCGGGCCGGGTCGCGGGGGGGACGACGACGACAACAACATCAGCAACAACACCAACAATAATAACAACAACCATAACAACATCAACAGCAACAACAACAGCAGCAACAACAGCAGCAACAACAACAACAACAGCAGCAACAGCAACAACAACAACCACAACAACCACAACAACATCAACAACAACAAAACAGCAGTAGACATAACAACAGCAGCAACAACACCAACAGCAACAGCAGCAACAACAACAACATCAGCAAACACACCACCAACAGCAACAACGCCAACAACACCAACAGCAACAACACCAACTATCCTTTTCAAGGCTGTTCGCTCTAATCTGCTCGCGTGCCGTTCAACACGTGTATCCCGAACCCTCGATACCCGCCCCCATCGTCTTCGACCGTACCCCCTTGGGGGTATACCTTCATCAGCTGCAACGTGTATTTCGTGAAACCCCTGAGGCAGGGGACGAGAGGACGGATGGAAGGAAGGGACAAGGGGGAGGAAGATGGAGCACGAGAGAGACTAGGCGGAGGGGGGCTAGGAGCAGAAAGCACGTGGCAGAACCAGACGGGCAGATCGGGCGGGTAGACCATACCAGGCGGGTCGGGAAGGAGGGCCCAGGCGGCCAGGTCGAGCAGATGTGTTGCTGAAGCGTGCGTCCTGCATGAATCGCGGGGAAGTCTCGCGCGACAGCTCGAGTCCCAAATCAATCGTGTGGAAATCCGCAGCGAGAGCGTGACTCCTGAATGTCGAGGGAACGGCGTTTGAGTATATTGCGAGGGGGTCCCACGCGAGAGCGCGATTCCTGAATGCATTGTGAGGAGGTATCATGCGGGAGCCGCTGTTGTTGTTGTAGTTCGGGGGCCAGGGGCGCAGCTCGATGAGAAGGATTTCCCTCCAATAAAAACAGTGTGCGAACCCCGGGAAGGGCACATCAATTGAAAAACATGTGGCTCAGGACGGGGGGTCAGTAATATTTACTCTTCAATTGTGCGAGTTCAACATTCATGTTACCCGAATGCGCTATGTTCTAATATGCAGCGTGTATCCATCATGATACCTCCCCCTCATGGAGGATGTTCTCCTTGCGCGCGCGGGGGCCCGATATTCCCTTTCCGTGATCTCCCGCCCGATGAGGTTTTGACAACACCTCTTCCGAGGCACCTCGGCATCTCCAGCCCCGATGACACATCGTCTTCGCGATCTCCCTGCCCAGGCATTGCTGGTAGGTATCACGACGCCTGAGTAGCCTAAGACCTCTGGGGGAGGCTTCACAACCTTTGGGAAAGCCCCGTGGCCCCCAGAGCTTCTCAGAGGAGCTTCAGAGCTTAGGCCCCTTGGGCTTTCGACTCCTCCCCGGCGGCTGCTTTTGCGTCGGTCACTTTCTGATGGTGCCAAGGCTCGTCGTCGTTGTCGCCGCCGCCGCCGCTGCCGCCGCCGCCTTCGTCGTTGTCGTCGTCGTCGTCGACGTCGTCGTCGTCGGGCCCAGAAACGGCCTGGGGGGTTCGACTTGCCGAGGACGTCTCAGGCGAAGGCGCCCGCGCGGCATTGTGCGCCAGGTTTCGCCAGCGTCGCCCGGCACAGAACAGAAAAGCTGGCGAGTAGCTGGAAAGCTGGGAGAAAGCTGACGTGCAAGGGGGCAAAGGAGAAGGAAAGGGAGGGAGAGGGAGGGAACGAGAAGGAAGGCTCTGGCGATTGGCGCGAAAGCTTGCGTGAAACTTGGAAAGGTAGAAGAGAAAACTGTAGAAATATAAACAAACCTGGCGATATAAAAGGAGTATTTGGAAACGAAGTACGGGGAAAACTTGCGGAGAGAAAAGCGGGGGAAAGATAAGGAAAGACAGGAAAAAAAAGTGGCAGAAGAGAGGGGGAGACAGGACGGCAGCGACGACGACGATGACGACGACCACGACGACGACGACGGCGGCGGTGGCGGCGGCGACGACGGCGACGACGCCACGCCCCATGACACGAACGATAATGAGGTCGCGCGGAGCAGGCCCGAGAGCGCGAATGTCGGAAACTGGAGCATATACATTACCACTTGCGGGTTGTTTTTTAATCTTAAGACTTTTTGAGGGTCGGGGACGATGTCGGGGCGGTGTGGTGTATACATATTGCCCCGATTTTCAAAGGAAACCATGAAACATGTATACACCAGGGTCTCGTGTACACCAGGAGCCGCTTTCGTGTGGGTGCTTCAGTGCGGGGCCGGCAGAAGGCGTCGGTGTACAGAGCTCGGCTTCTTAACATTCGCATTCAGGGCGTCCAGAAGTAATAATTGTTCAAGAACTGCTCTATAATGAAAGTGCAACAGGGGCTAGGGCAGCCTTTGGGCCTCCTGGGGGTCTTGAGAAATAGCGGAAGAACTCTCGAGCGGGAACGTCGTTGTTTGTAGGGGGTCCTGAGGCGGGAGTGCCGGTTCTCAGGTGAATAGCAGGTAAGTGTCGAGAGGGGGGGGGCCGATGTCGTTGGAATGTCGGCTTAGGGGGGCGAGCAAGAACCCCGTCCCCGAGTGAAAAAGGAGGAAGTATCGAGTTGGAGCGTTGTTGTTGATGTTGTTGTTGTGGTTGTTGTTGTTTCGTTTTTTTTCCTTTGTTGTTATCGTTGTCGGTTTCGTTGTTGCTATTGTTGTGGGTGCTATTTGTATTAATAGTATTGTTATTATTATTATTATTATTGAGAGGCCCGCTTGAACGCACCCCCGAAACGCTGGAGCGTGAGCCTAGCTTTCGGAGGAAATGCAGCTGGCGTTTGAGCGAAAGCGCAAAAGCGTTCAGGGAGTCCAACAATAATGGTAAATTCGTAACGAAGGTCCAACAGCAACATTAATGACAACAGCAGCAGCAACAACAGCAATCCGCACCGCTGAACCTCACTTCAGCCACGCGCCCACGGACAATGAATTACCGCTAGGCCCCAGCAGTCCGACGATGCGGGCCACACGCGCCGCGCGCGTCGCCACGCGGGCGTGACGGTCAGTCCCGGTCTTCGCATCATTTCAAAATAGAGCAGCTCAAAAAGGTACGTACGACCAATTAATTTGTTTCCAACAGAAAGTTTATCAGGGTTCCTGGATGTCCGCGCGCCCTGTCACCACCACCATCATTTGCGCCGCAATTGCCGCCATTATCAGATAATCACTCAAGTACCTTCATCATTGACTCATGGACGTAATCATCGTCTCGGCGTGGCCCGCATCGGCGCTGTCATTGGCCACTCCGTCCTCATCGTCATCATCGCCACCACCATCGTTACTATCATCATCGTCGCCGCCGTTGTCGACGTCATCATGATACCGCGCCCGCCCAAGCCACCAACCTGCATTGAGGTGCCCGCGCGCCAGCGTGGCTTTTGACACGCGCTGGGGCATTGCCATCTGTCAGCGCCGTTCTGTGCGCGCGAGCTTGCGCGCGCCAGCGAGTCCGCAGAGATGCGCCACGCATTGCCAAGCAATCGATGCAATTGCAGCCGCACGGGTTTTGCAAACCAAGTTGCGGGTGGGAGGATAAGATGTTTTCGCGAGCAGTGAAGTTGACAACTCATGCGTTGGCAACAACAGATTGCACCACATAGCTTTCACCACATCGCTTGCATCAAATAGCTGGCACATCCACAGTGCAAACACTTAATGCTTAGGGGCCCACGCTAACTGACATTACCGTTTCGGGCCGGAACGCTCCCCTGGAGAGGTCCGTGGAGCAGCGGTATCGCTACAGTACCCTTTTGCCCTCGCAGGCAGGCCGCGGGGGGGGGGCAGCACAGCACAGGACGGGCGCTGATGCCGCTCCCCGCGCGCGCGGGCACGGCAGCGCCTGCCTAGGAGATCGGCGGCTTGGCCAGCGGCCCCGCCGTGGGTCGGCAGAGGCCTGCGGGGGGGGCGGGGGGAGGGACCCCGGCTCGCGACCAGGATTGTGACCCCAGGACGACGGCCACGAGCGCCGACGATGCAGCGGTCCGCCCCCCCTTCGTCTCCCCTTTCTCCCTTCTTCCCCTTCCTGCTTGCGGTTTGCCCCCCTTCCTGCGGCTCGCCCTCCTCGTCTGTTCTTCCTCCTCCCCCGTTCCTCGTCTGTTCCTCCTCCTCCTCCTCCTCCTCCCCCGTCCTTTCCCGTCCTCCTCCTCCTCCTCCTCCTCCTCCTCCTCCTCCTCCTCCTCCTCAGGCGGGGCTCGCTCGCCGGAGGCGTCGGTCTCGCTGGCCTGCGGCGATCGATCTACCAGCTCTGGCTGCCCGGGGGGGTCCAGTTCGCAGGTTCATCTCCTTGCTGGGAGCTCTCGTGGCCGAGGCGGGAGGGAGGGAGGAGGATGGAGGAGGAGGGAGGATGGAGGGAGGAGGATGGGAGAACGGGGGATTGTGGAGTCCCTGTGGTTCCAAAGCGCGCGCGCGAGGCTTTCGCGCTGAGTTCGCGACTGTGTATGTGCAAACTCTGCTCTGTGTCGTCCTCCTCCTCCTTCTCCGCCTCCTCCTCCTCATCCTCCTCCTCCTCCCTCTCCCCCTCCTCCTACCTCTCTGCCTTTTTTTTTTTTTTCCTCCTGGCGTCCCCCCCCCCAGATTTTTTTTTTTCTGGGGGGGGGAGGGGCGCCAGGAGGACAAAAAAAAAGGAATGCGACGTGGCCACATCTGCCCTCCCTCCTAGAAGGATTCCTATTAAACGCCCCCACAAGAAGGATTCACAGTGAAATCCTCGACATAAGGGTTCACTGAATGATTCCTATTGAAATCCCCCACATGTGGATTCCTACTGAAACCCTCCACTGAATGATTCGTACTGAAATCCTCGAATGGCAATGGCAATGGCAAAGGTAATGGTAATGGTAATGGTAATGGTAATGGTAATGGTAATGGTAATGGTAATGACAGTGGTAATGGTGATGGTACTGGTAATGGTTACGGTAATGATAGTGGTAACGGGGTAGCGAGGCAATGACAATGGCAACAGGCAACGGTAATGGTAATGGCCATGGCAATGGTAATGATAAGGGTAAAGGTAAAGGTAAAGGTAGAGGTAAAGGTAATGGTGATGGTAATGGTAAGGGTAGAGGTAAAGGTAGAGGTAAAGGTAATGGTAATGGTAATGGCAATGGCAGTGGTAATGGAAATGGTAATGGTAATGGGAATGGGAGTGGGAATGGTAATGGAAATAATAGTGGTAGTGGTAATGGTAATGGCACTGGTAATGGTAATGGTAATGGAAATGGTAATGGTATTGGGAATGGGAATGAGAATGGGAATTCCAATGATAATGGCAGCGGTAATGGTAATGGGAATGGGAATGGGAATGGGAATGGTAGTGGTAATGGTAATGGTAATGGTACGGGCAATGGGAATGGGAATGGAAATGGAAATGGTATTGGCAATGGTAATGGTAGTGGCGAATGGCAATGGCAATGGCAATGGTAATGGTAATGGTAATGGTAACGCGGGAGCGATTGGCAATGGCAATGACAATGACAATGGCAATGGAAATGGTAATGGCAATGGCAATGGGATTGGCAATGGCAATGGCAATGGCAATGACAATGATAATGGCCATGGCAACGGCAACGGCAATGGTAAGTGCAATGGTAATGGCAATGGTAGTGGGAATGGGAACGGGAATGGGAATGTGAATGGGAACGGGAACGGGAATGGAAATGGTAGTGGTAGTGGCAACGGAAATGGGAATGATCAGGGTAAGGGTAACGGTAAAGGCAGAGATAAAGGATATGGTATTGGTAATGGTAATGGAAATGATAATGGTAATGGTACTGGTCACGGGAATGGCAATGGAAATGGTATTGGCAATGCTAATGGTAGTGGCTAATGGCAATGGCAATGGCAATGGCAACGGTAATGGTAATGACAGAGGTAATGGTAATGGCATTGGTAATGGTAACGGTAATGATAGTGGTAACGGGGTAGCGACTGGCAATGGCAATGACAATGACAATGGCAACGGTAATGGTAATGGCAATGGCAATGGCAATGGCAATGGCAATGGCAATGGCAATGGCAATGGCAATGGTAATGGCAATGGCAATGGCAATGGCAATGGCAATGGCAATGGTAATGGTAATGTGAATGGGAATGGGAATGGGAACGGGAATGGGAGTGGGAATGGGAATGGGAACGGGAATGGAAATGACAGTGGTAGTGGTAACGGAAATTGGAATGGTAAGGATAAGGGTAAAGGTACAGGTAGAGGTAAAGGTAATGGTAATGGTAATGGCAATGGCAGTTGTAACGGTAATGGTAATGGTAATGGTAATGGTATTGGGCATGGGAATTTGAATCGGAATGGTAATGGCACTGGCAAAGGTAATGGTAGTGGCAAATGGGAATGGCAATTGCAAAGGCAATGGTAATGGTAATGGTAGTGGCGAGTGGCCATGGTAATGGTAGTGGCGAATGGCAATGGCAATGGCAATGGTAATGGTAATGGCAATGACAGTGGTAATGGTAATGGTACTGGGAATGGTAATGGTGACGGTAACGGCAATGGTAATGGTTATGGCAATGGTAACGGGGTAGCGATTGGCAATGGCGACGGCGATGGCAATGGTAATGGTAATGGCAATGGCAATGGCAATGGCAATGGGAATGGCAATGGCAATGGCAATGGCAATAGCAATGGCCATGGCAATGGTAATGGTAATGGTCATGGTCATGGTAATGGTCATGGTCATGTTCATGGCAATGGGGATGGGCATGGGAATGGGAATCGTAGTGGTAATTGGAACGGGAACGGGAAGGGAAATGGTAGTGGTAGTGGTAATGATAATGGCAATGGTAATGGAAATGGAAATGGTACTGGTAACGGTAATGGTAATGGCAATGGTGATGGGAATGGGAATTGTAATGGTGATGGCAGCGGTGATGGTAATGGTAATGGTAATGGCAATGGTGTTGGTAATGCGAATGGTTATGGCAATGGTAATGGTAGTGGCTAATGGTAATGGTAATGGTAATGGTACTGGTACTGGTAATGGTAACGGTAATGGTAATGGTAACGGGGTGGCGATTGGCAATGGCAATACGATGGCAATGGCAACGGCATTGGTAATGGCAATGGCAATGGCAATGGGAATGTCAATGGCAATGACAATGGCAATTGTAATGGCCATGGTAATGGTAATGGTAATGGTAAAGGTAAAGGTAAAGATAAAGGTAAAGGTAATGGTAATGGTAATGTGAATGGGAATGGGAATGGGGATGGGAATGGTAATGGTAATGGTATTGGGAATGGGAATGGGAATGGAATGGGAATGGGAGTGGGAGAGATTGAGAGAGAGAGAGAGAGAGAAAGCGAGTGAGGAAATATCAGAATAATGATGAGGAGCAACGTGAAAGATCGTAAAAAATCGTCTGAAACCCACAGGGACTCCACAATCCCCCGGCCTCGAGAACGGGGGATTGTGGATGGGGAGGAAGGGGGGTGGAGAGAGTAGAGGGCGGGAGGGGGGGAAGTAGGCGCTGGGATGGAAGGAGGAAGGATGCAGGCGATCCACCGGCCAGGGGCGCAGGACAAGGAGGACGAGGGGGCGAGGACGACAGATAGGAAAAGTAGGAGGGTGAGGAAGTCTACGAGGAAGGGACGAGATGATAGGGACGACGAGGGTGAGGAGGATGACGGCGACGATGACGACGAAGGAGAGTGCTCCGTCGCATGCGCCCGCTCCCCGCTGCCCCTTGAGAAGGACAAGCTGAGCAAGCGCCGGGAGAAGTTGGACGGAGAGGCGATGGAGAGGCTGCAGGGCGCGGAGGAGGAGGAGGAGGAGGAGGAGGAGGAGGAGGAGGAGGAGGAGGAGGGGGAGGAGGAGGAGGAGGAAGAGGAGGAGGACGAGGAGGAGGAGGAGGAGGAGGAGGAGGAGGAGGAGGGAGGGGAGAATCAGTACTGAGGACGTGGGGAAGGACCAGGGCAGGAGGGAGGAGGGAGGAGGAAGAGGAGGTGGGTACACGCCGGTCGTTGAAAGTAGGTATCTCGGGGTTCCCAGATCCCAGTCTATTTGAGCCGCCTTCCTACTTCAAGGGGCGAGTGGTTTCCCCTCTTCCCTCCTCTTCAGGGGGCGGGCAGAAGCCCAATACTCTTCCAATGCCTTCCGTCTTGATGTTTCTACCAACTTATTCCGACCGACGTGTATTGTGGGTCTGAATGGGGGCTACGGAGTTAGAAGTAAAAGTTGTTCTGCGGAGTCTAGGTGCCATCAGGGCTTTCCAGGGGGGAGCAGATGGAGCCCAGACGCTTCGTCACCCTCCGATCGGGCTGTCATCCTTCCACTCCTGCTCCTCCCCTGCCAACGCTCCTGCCCATCCTCCTCTTCTTCCCCCTGGCACACCAAGCGCGCACGGGGCCCATGAGCTTCTGTGGCCGAGCTGGACCGGGACTGCCGCATACGAGGTGTCGCAACGTCTTTGTGGCAATTTCCATCGCGCAAGGGGACTGCGAGGAGGATACAGCCTGCAGAATAAGACAGCTTACAAGGACCTTCTGGGCCGAGCTTCCTTCCTTGACTCTCAGCCTCGCAGGGTGCCTCAGGGCTCTGCCGCCCCGTCGGGGGAGGAGCGATTGTCGCGGGGCACCCGTCGGTCAGGCCAGTTTTTTTCCCGGCGGAGCCGGGTGAAATTCCGTGCCCGCCGGCTGACTGATGACTGACTGAACGTCAGGGGACAGCTCGGGAGACACATTTCAAACCGCCCGCGGGAGCGCAACCCGGCGGCGGCAACCGCAACCCAACCGGGCGACACATTTCAAAGCGCCCGCGGGAGCGCGCAACCGCAACCGCAACCGCAACCGGCGACACATTTCAAAGCGCCCGCGGGAGCGCGCAACCGCAACCGCAACCCGGCGACACATTTCAAAGCGCCCGCGGGAGCGCGCAACCGCAACCGCAACCGCAACTGGGCGACACATTTCAAAGCGCCCGCGGGCGCGCAACCGCAACCGCAACCGGGCGACACATTTCAAAGCGCCCGCGGGAGCGCGCAACCGCCGGGCGACACATTTCAAAGCGCCCGCGGGCGCGCAACCGCAACCGCAATTTTCAAAGCGCCCGCGGGAGCGCGCAACCGCAACCGCAACCCGGCGACACATTTCAAAGCGCCCGCGGGAGCGCGCAACCGCAACCGCAACCGCAACCGGGCGACACATTTCAAAGCGCCCGCGGGCGCGCAACCGCAACCGCAACCGGGCGACACATTTCAAAGCGCCCGCGGGAGCGCGCAACCGCAACCGCAACCGCAACCGGGCGACACATTTCAAAGCGCCCGCGGGCGCGCAACCGCAACCGCAACCCGGCGACACATTTCAAAGCGCCCGCGGGAGCGCGCAACCGCAACCGCAACCGCAACCGGGCGACACATTTCAAAGCGCCCGCGGGCGCAACCGCAACCGCGACCGCAACCGGGCGACACATTTCAAAGCGCCCGCGGGCTCGCAACCGCAACCGCAACCGGGCGACACATTTCAAAGCGCCCGCGGGCTCGCAACCGCAACCGCAACCGGGCGACACATTTCAAAGCGCCCGCGGGAGCGCGCAACCGCAACCGCAACCGGGCGACACATTTCAAAGCGCCCGCGGGAGCGCGCAACCGCAACCGCAACGGCAACTGGGCGATACATTTCAAAGCGCCCGCGGGAGCGCGCAACCGCAACCGCAACCGCAACCGGGCGACACATTTCAAAGCGCCCGCGGGAGGGCGCACCCGCAGGGTTTTAAGGGGGTCGATTGCGCGTGCACTTGTGCGTAAGCTGCCCGCGGAAGGTGGCGCGTAGGCGCCTTAATGCGGTCTGCCGCGCGAGCGGCTTGCGTGATCCACCGCGCAAGGTCGTCGCGCAATCGAGTGCGACCCCCCTTCTGATCGTTTCTCCCTGGGGGGTCAGGCGAGTGGAATTGCCTCAGCCACGTCTCGGCCACGCTCGTGGGACTGCCCCCCGCAGGGTTTCAAGGGGGTCGATTGCGCGGGCACTCGCGCGCATGCCGCCCTCGTAAGTTCGCGCGTCTGCCGCGCGAGCGGCCTGCGTGAGCCACCGCGCAAGGTCGTCGCGCATTCGAGTGCAACCCCCCTTCTGATCGTTTCTCCCGGGGGGGTTCAGGCGAGTGGAGTTGCCTCAGCCACATTTCGGCCACGCTCGTGGGACTGCCCCCCGCAGGGTTTCAAGGGGGTCGATTGGGGGCGGGGGACGACAAGGAGAAGAAGGAGGAGCCACTGGCGGAGGGCCCGACGACGAGCCCCCGCGTGGCCCGCGGTTCTCCGCCGGGACATTGCAGCGGGGAATCCCTATTCCACGCTGCTGCCCTTAATTGTTTGACGTGATTCCTGCAGGATAACGCCGCCGCAGTTAGCGCCTGCCGCCTCCCGGCCCGCTCGAGCGCGCGTGCGGACTGCCTCTGCCGCGCTGCGAAGGGGCCGCACTTCAGCGGCAGGGGGGCGCACGGGCCCAGCGCGCAGTGTGTGATCTCGGTGCCGCCCCGACCTGGAGCTGTCTGCTGCCCTGAGGGGAGACGCTTTGGGCAGCGCACGCCTTTCCAGAGATTGCGGACCACTGCCGAGGCAAGCTCGCCTCCCCTTTCGTGCATGCCGCTCCACACCAGCTTCGATTTAACAAGATCGCCTGTGAGCATGGGGTGAGGAGGGGGTGGTGGCCAGTGCCGGGCGGGGCTAGGACAGGGATGAATCGTTCCAGAGCGTCCCAGAACGCAAGAAGGCCGCGGCCCCCGACACATCCTCCAGAACCGCCGCATCTGAGATGTACCCGCTTAATCACTGTCCGATTTTGCCCCTGACAGTGAAAACGAGGCACAGGTGGAACATCCTCGGGAGTCCCGCACTGATCGCTCCAGCATGGGGAGCCATCCACCATTTGCCACTTTTCAAGCCGCGAGGCGGCGCTCCCGCGTTGGCCGGGCCCCGCTCCTCTCGGGGCTGTAGCGTGAGAGGTCCGCCAGCGCCCTGAGGCTCCGCCCGAATCAGTCACCACTTCTCCACCATCCTCTCTTCTCAAGCCCACTCCCTCGCTCTACACCCATCAGAAAGCTTCAGAAAACCAAGAACTGAACTGGGCCCGGGGCGTTTTCTTGCCAACCGCCGCCTCACCTAGGTCCGCCCCCTATAGCAGGGACCGTCGGGCAGACCCAAGGGGTCTGGGCCCCCTCGTTCTCACCACCGGCTATCCCACGCACCTACCACTACTACCACATCCTCCTCCCTTCCCCTCTCATGTCTCTCTCTTTCCTCTCTCACGCATCCCTCCTCCTGCATCGTCTCCCCCCCCCCCCCTTCTCTTCCACTCCCGCTGCTACGGCCTTCTTTTGCGGGCCACCTCAGTCAAGGCACCGCCAGCCCTTCTCTCTCTCTCCCGCTTCCTCCCGCGCTCCTCCGTCATGGAGGATGAGAGAGGCCGTCGTCGTCGTCGACCGTCGGATCGGGCGGTGCGCCGTTCTCGGGAGTCAATGCCTGCGGGCTAGCGCCCCTGACCCAGGCAACTAAAAAAGAACGGGACATGCAGCAGTGATAATGCATCATAGCCGGTTGCGCAGAGCCTGAGACAAGCAGAGAGCGCGAAAAAGGATCTCAAGAGGCGATGGAGGCTCCGAAGGTCTGACAAGGCGTGCGCCAACGCGAGCCGATGGGAAAGGGGCGAAGCAGGGGCGAAAGGGGGAAGCCTGAGTAGAATACAATGACTAGTTACGCACTAGAACAGGAGCAGCTGAATGACAGGCTGAACTCTGAAGGCTAAGCGCCAAAAGACAATTGAAGTGCGAAGCGCACTGCGAGAACAAGCGATCTGAGAGAGAGAGAGAGAGAAACAATAGAGTGCGCACAAAGCTCTGATGGCAACATCAACGCTGGAAGCCAAAGTATTCGCGCGGGGCACGGCCGCTCTGAGCGAGCAGAAACAACACACTGAACGAGAGATGATAGCACCTGGTACGGCCAACCAGGGGACCAGGGGCCCGAGGGGACGGGAACGTGAACCTGGCAATGCCACAGGTAGAGCGGGAGCGCGAATGGCGGCGACCCACGACGAGGGAACCCGAAGGGAGAAAAACCAGCCTATCGCCGGAGTCAATGGCCAGAGTCAATGGACCTACAGCGGCCGGAGTCAATCGCTGCTGAGATCCCTGGGACGGCGCAGGTGGGGGGGGCAAAACGCCCCGGGCGGCCGCACCCCCCCGAGGCGGCCTCACCCCCCGAGGCAGCCCTGGGGTCCGCCCCCCAGGGAAGAAAATGGGAGGAGAGAAGGGACATGGGAAGGAGGGGAGGGCCTCCTAGGGTGAGGCCCCCGCAGGGTCGGACCACCACCAACACGTGCGGACCGTGGGCGTCGCCATGCACCAGATGCGACGAACTGCATTACTGGGGGCGCTGAGACAGGAGGGAGGATGGTAGAGACCCCGCCCTGGCCCACCACCGCACGGCGAAATCGAACAGCACGTCGAAGTCGCTCGCAGGACGAAGCACATCATGTTGTCAAACATGAACACGGTCCCTGCTGGTCCTCTTCCAGCGCAGCCCACCACGCCAGCGATGGTGCAGAAGAATGTGATGATGACCGCCGTGTGCAGGAGAAGCCGCGGGCGCTGCTGCAGTAGCGGCCGAGGACGCCGAACGAGATGGCGTCGACGAGCGCGATTTTGGAGCAGCCGCCTTCGACACGGCGCACAGCGACTGGAGCAGCGGCAGCAGCCCAAGTTGAAATAGCACGCGGACGACGATGATGGCGGCGGCGACGCGGTAGACGTCGAAGCACCTTGATCAGCAGCCATCGGCCCGGAGGCGGCTGCAGAACCATGCGCAGCAGAGCCTTGCTGCTCTCTGGGCTCTTGTGTGTCCAACTGTCGGGACCGCTCGGCGGCTGCCGACGAGGGATCGCCGGCGGCAGCTCGGGCGCCCGCGCCAACGCCGACAGGAGGGGGGAAAGCTTGCTGAGGATCATGAGGACGCCAACCGGCTGCGACTGCAGAGGCAGCAGCAGGCTGCGGCAGCCAGCACTCCAGGGACTGGACGACGCCGAAGCAGCCATGTGCGGAAGGCGGCCCCGCAGGGCATCTGGGGGGGGGGCCCACTGGCCAGGGGCCCTCAGCAGCGTTCCAGCAGGAGCCCCAGGAGGCTCCTAATGGTGTGGACCAGCACGAAGATGATGTGCACCGAAGGCCGCCGTGGCGAGGGCCGCCACATCGACCATGCGAGGATGGCGGCCGACTCGGGCCGCGTAACTCAGCCGCCTCGCCGCCGCGGGCACGCTGGGCCTCGACCAGCAGCGGAGGCGCTAAAGAGGAGGAGGAGGAGGAGGAGGAGGAGGAGGGAGGAGGAGGAGGAGGGAGGAGGAGGAGGAGGAGGACGGGGAGGACTGCCCGGACGCCACCATCGGGGGCGGCGCACAGGAGCACAGGCCGTGGCGCCGCAGAGCGCCGAACGGGGGCGAGATGGCTGTGGCGACGGCTCGGGCCCGAGGGGAGAGGAGGGAGGGGGCAGGGGGAGGGGGATGCAGACGCAGGCCTCGAACCTGGCGCAGGCCCAGAACCTGGCGACATGGCATCGAACTCTTTGGAAATGCCCCATGAGCCATTCCTTCTCTCGCCCTGCTCTCACTTGTTCCCATATCTGAGCTCCCACTCCCCACGCTCTCCCCTGCGTATCCTTCCACTCTTCTCTTCCTCCCCCATTGCCCTCCTCCAGAGTCCCCAGAGCTGGAAACTTGCGGTGGCCACCGAAAACTTTCCAAGGGCCCTGAACAGCTCCCAACACCTTCGGACGTCTCCAACAGTTCTTCTCACATGTTCTTCTCTCTCCACCTCCCTCCTGCCTCTCCTCCCCCCCAGCGGCCTCCTCCCTCGCCTTTCCTCCCCCCAGGACCCTCGAGAACCTCCAAGATGCTCCCGGAGCATCCTTCCTCGCACCGTCTGCCTGCGCCCTCCCCCGCCTCCCCGCTTCCGCAAACCTCCGAACACCCTGGGGAACCGCCGAAACCGCCGACAACCTTGGAAAGCTCCCGAACCTTCCGAGCGCATCCGAAATCTCCCTCTCCTTCGCCTTCAGCGACTCCTCAGGCTTGGGATGCAACTCCTGAGAGGGTCAATGCAGAATCGGCGCTGGTACATTTGTGGTCGAGCACTGGCCCAATCCTACACAATCCTGTGCCATTTTGCTTCATCCCGCCCCCTCTGGCTTCATCATGGGTTGAATCTGGGCCAATCCTGCTCAGTGCCTCTTTTTTCTCAACGGGCTCAGGTACTAATAGGCAATCGCCCTTGATCCTTCGAAGACCTCCCAGGAGCGGCCCCCGAACTCACCCGGCGCCCCCGACGGCTGAGCGGCGACGACGGCTCTGCGGCGCAGAGGTTACAGAGGGCGGAGGCTTCGCTGCGCGTCCGCCTCCACTGGCGCCCGCTGCGCGCCAGCCAGGCGCGGCCCCCCCACCTTGGCAGGGAAGTGGCCCGCTGCTGCCGCCGCCGAGGATGGAAGATCGGGGGCCGAGGATCGAGGCTCGAAGGCCGCGGATCGAGGGTCCAGGTTCGAGGGCCGAGGGCCGAGGCCGCGGGTCGAGGCTTGTGATCGAGGGCCGAGGATCGAGGGCCGAGGGTCGTGGGCCCAGGGTCAAGGACCGATCAGTCGAAGGCCCAGGATCGAGGCTCTGAGGTAGCGGTCTTGGGGGGGGGGCGTGCTGGGTCCCGAGGCCCCGCCCCGGGGACCTGTAGAGACTGTCGTCGTCGTTTTCGTCGCCATCGTCGCCGTCGCCGTCGATCGCCTCCTCCGTGCTTCTTGTCGCTGGCGTCGCCGCCGTCAGCGTCGGACTCGTCGCCATCGACGTTGGTGTCCTCGTTGGCGGCGGCAGAGGAGGCGACGGAGCAGCAGGAGGAGGAGGAGGAGGAGGAGGAGGGCGAGGAGTGCCCCGCGGGACCGCCACTTTTTTGATCGGGGCGCCACGCTGCGGGTGCACGTGCGCGCGGGAGCGAGGACGTCAGCGGCGATCACGAGACAGGGTCGCGAGGATTTCGGGCCCCTCCGGGGCCCGGGATCTGGCCAGAACTGGCACCATTCCCCACAGCGCCGACCCCACCATGGTGTTTTGGCCAGCGCGCACATCCCTCACGCCTGACTGTGCCAGGGGAGCAGGAGTTTGGTGGCGGTTTGTCGTCTGCCGTTGTGGCGTCTCTGCTGCCGGCCGTTTGCAGCCGCCCTGCAGCCAGAAGCAGCTCGAACCTAGCAGAGTTTGAAGCGAGCCTGCGCAACTCGAAATGCGAACCCATGTGCCTGCAAGTCAACGGCGGGGTTCCCAGAAGTCTGGGGGGGGGGCTCCGCGGCGGCTCCAGGAGGTGTCTGGGGCCCCAGGCAGGGCCAGGGCGCACAACGAAGCCTTGAGCATCGCAGCGCCTCCACCGCCTCCCCTCCTCTGAACCCCGCCCCGCTCCGGGAGGAGCGTCCTTCTCCCGCCCCTGCGCCCCGCCCCGCGGCGCGGACCGCAGCCCGCCCTGACCCAGTCCCACCCCCCGTGGGCCGGGCTGTGGCCCGGCGGCCCGGCCCCTCCCCTCGCCCTCTCCGTGCTCAAGCCGCCGGGGCTCGAGTCTGGGGGGCTCTCTGGACAAGCCCTGGGAGCGCGGCACGGCAAACGCCCGCGCAGCCGCAGGCACTTGCATCTCTTGGGGTGGTCTCATTCAGGATCGGCGCTGCCGATGTCAAAAACTGGCCCACCCTGGCATATTCCCATTCGATTTTCCATTTGCTTTTGCCGAATCTAGTTCAGTCGGGCATTATCTTCGTGTTTATTCGCCCTGACTCGTTCTTACGAGTGTACCACCCAGAAGCTGCCCTTGAATGCACTTTTGGCCTGATCGTGTCCCTTTGGTAGCACATCGTTGGAGCCTTGTGTGCTCCCCGAATTCCGCTTTTTGAGTGCACGAGCGTGCGCTAGCGTCTGGTAATCGAATGGGGAAGCGCAGATTCTTCGTCGATCAGCAGCCGATTAGCGTCGAGTCGCGAGGAGCCAGCAAGATGACACAGGAGCCCCCCGTGAGTTGCCACAGAATCGCGCCCCCCATCCCCTCCGCCTCTGAACCCCTGTGTGGCCCGCGGCCCCCCGAATCGCCGAGCCTCGCTTCGCGATCGACCGCGCCGCCCGGGCCCGATGCTCACGAGCGGCCATCGCGCTACAGGCCCGCGGCGCGGAGAGGACCCGAGGGGCCCGATGCGCAAGAGCCTTGCCGAGGGACCCAGGTCGTCCGGGGCCTTGCCGAGGGGGCCCCGGCCATCGCGCAGCGTGCGAGAGCGCAGGTGGCAGATGCGCCACGGGCCCAGGGTGCGCGGAGGGTCAGAGCAGGGAAAGGCAGCGATCTTGATAGCAGGAATGTTTATCTGTGATCAGATGTCTTTTTTCACGGCTGGATCGATTGCTCTTGATGAAGCGGTCGAGGTTGTGAGGAATTTGACGCTTGAAGTAGGCAGCTGGCCGTCCGACATGCCATGTGACCTAGGCCTCGAGAAACAAAGAAAGAAAACAATAAAAAAGAAAGAACGAAAACGATACCGCTATCTTTCCCTCGTTTTCGCCTTCCTGGGCCTCCCGGAAGGCCCTCGTCGCCACGGCTGGGTTCGCCTCGAAATGTTGGTCAGAAGGCACCCTGGGAAGGGTCTGGGGAGTGGCGGTATCGGGGCGGGCCCTGAGATCTTGGCGTTGCAATTTTCTCACACAGGGCGTCCTCGCCAAGTCTCGGGCCCCGGGGCCATCACGGATCGATCAGGCTTTTAGAAAAGCGCAGGAGCATGGGGTCTAGGACTCCTGCCGTGATTTTTGACGACGCTCCAATTTCTTCACGACGTCGAATCTCAGGGGCGCCTATCGCATGCCTTCCTCGTCCCTCACAAAGTGTCTTGGGGTCTCCAGGACCCTCCTGGGGCTGTCGCCCTTCTCGTGTTTTGCCCTTCGCGTCCTGTGTCTTTCCTCATCCGTAGCAGTTCTCGCTCACGCCCCTGAGCCCCTTTTTCTTGCGAGCGTCTGCCGCACGCGTGGATCGGCGCAATCACAAACGGCGCGAGGCGGAGCCCTGGTGGAGGCATGGTGGAGCTGCGCCTGGAGCCGCTGGATGGTATCAGCCTGCCGCAGGAGTGCTACGTGTCGGTGCGCGTGGGGGAGACGCAGAGGCTCTCCAAGCTGTCCGGGCCGCGCACGTTCCGCTTTCCGAGCGGCGCCGACGGAGGGGTCGGCAAGATCGAAATCTTCAGGCGGGTCGGTGCCTGCAACTTTGAGGTGAACCCATCGACTGATGCCGACCGCGAGGTGCGCATCGGCTGCAGCGACAGCGTCGGCGAGCTCGGCCTGCGAGTGCACATGGAAAGGGACGGGGGGGCGATGAAAGAGGAAATGCAGGACCCGTCAGAGACATCAAATATCAAGCTGCCTGCGGCAAGTCTTGCCATCGTGCCAGCCCAGCGCTCTGGAAAGCGAATGCTCGTGGAGCGCTCAGGCAGCCGTAACGTGTGATGCCTCGTGTGCCTAGGCTTGGGAGAGCCTCAAACTTTGACTCGCTCTTCCGCATCGTGTCGGGGTGTCGCTCATCGTGTTCGTCGTCGTCTTCCTCCTGTCCTGATCGTCCCTCCTCTTCTCTTGGGGTCTCTTCGGGCTGAGGAAGGTTTCTGCTTTTGATGTGTTGGCCTCCGCTGGGCATGAGGATGACGACCGACGTCGACGACCGACCGACTGGCTGGCCGACCGACCGACCATTTTCGACGAAGATGACCGACCGCCAGGCCGACCGACGACGACGACGACGACGACGGACGACCGACGACCGACGACCGACCAACCGACCGACGGACCGACGACGACGACGACAACGACGACGCCGACGACGACCGACGACCGACGACGACGACGACCGACCGGCTGACCGTCCGACCGACCGACCGCGACCGGCCGAGGCACAATTCTAGAAGACGTGGGCCTGGTTAATTTCTACAACTTTTCCCCTTCTCCTTCTCATCCTGCTCCCCACCCTACGAGAAGTATGATATCAGCTCCGTGGACCGGGTGGATTGCGTTTCTCGGACTCCAGGCCTAGGGGGTGTTGGGACCAGGGGCCGCAGATTGCGTTTTTCGGGGTGGATTGCCGCGGATTGCCTGGCGGATTGCTTTTTCCCAACCCTCCTGTTTGGGGCTCTCGTTATGAAAACAGCACCATGATCTCCATCCTCCTCCCTCCCTGCTCTTGCCTCCAACCTCCGCCTGCATCCTGCGCGCTCCCTCGGGGTCTGCGAACTACGCAACCGTCGCCACTTTCGTGGGCTCCTGGGAGGCACGGCGGAGAGGTGAGGGCAGCGCAGATCATTTCTGACCTCGCGGCTCCCTGGCCTGGGGGGCTCCGAGCTGCGCAATTGTCGGCACTGCGCAAACGTCGCCACGTACGCGGGCTGCTGCGAGGCTCGGCGGAGGTGAGCGCAACGCGGATCGATTGGGACCTCGCGGCTTCCTTGGGCATTGCGAATTGCGCAATTGTCGCCACTTTCGTGGGCTCCTGAGACGCACGGCGGCGGCGAGGGCAACGTGGATCATGCTTGTAATTTTTGTACAGGGCGTTCATATTCATAGTCGCTTCGCGTGGAGAGTGGGTTGTGTACGTCTCGGGTAATGTGGGTGCCATTTTGGCTGGCCGACCTGTGCGGTTGTGAGGACGCCGATCGGCTGAAACAAAACATCCTCATAACACAACGCAGAAAACAACATCTAAAGATGTACTGTCCTCTATCCGTTGGGGGCCTCGTTGGAGGCTCCTTGGACCGTCTCAGAGCGCTCTTGGGCAGTCTGCCGCCTTCGGGGTCCTTCTCGTGGGCCTCTGAGCGGTCTTGGCGCTTTCCTGGGGCCCTGAAGGCCTCTTGGGCGATCTTGGGGCCATCTTGGAAGCATCGTGGGCCGTCTTGGGCTGATGAAAGCCCCAAGAGGCGAGAACGCGACAAATATTCCGGACTTAAGGCACATCAATGATTTCGACCTCGTCGCGCCCTACTGGGGTTCTGTTGGAGCCCTCATGGGCCGCCGTGGGCGCCTCTTAGGCCGTATTGAGGCCATCTTGGCGGCCTTGGTGGCATGTTTCGGCCGTCTTGGAGGCCATCTTGAGCATCTTGGACGCCGTGGAGAGCGCCAGGGAAGCGTCGAGGCGCCCAGCGAGCCTCGGGGGGAGGTATGCATGCACCAATCCGTGACTAGGAGGGGGCGG